TGTTTCACTTGATCCGCTTAATCCACTTCGCCATTGGTCACTTCGCGAATTTGACCAATAGCGAAGTGGATGAAGCGGACCATGGATCACGCGAATCAAGTATGGCGCGTGCCTAAGCTACCACTTGTCACAACACCGCTGTTACGAAACTCTGCTCTTACACGCTCTACCACAATTTATAATTGCCCTCGCAATTTGCAGAAACCCCCACACTGTCACCTATATTGTGCAGCGCAACTGTGCAGCCAGTTGCTTGGTCTAGTGCACCTGTCCGCAAAAAAGCGAAAACGGCTGCCGCCTTTACAGCAGCTGACCATAACCCATTGGTTTAAGATGATATACCATTACGAACCTGTTGTGAACCTTGATCGTGTGTGTGCTCTTGCCTGCACTGCTCACCACAAGGCAGCCATTTTCGTGTTTGACGTCTCCCTTGAATCGGCCATGGGTGGAATCGTATTTGAAAAGGTATACCTGAAGCACAAAGCTACAGTAAATCACAATATCTCGAGTAAATCTTGGTTATAATCACTATCCCTTTATTCACGAAAAAAGTAGAATACGATTTTTGCAGACTCTGATGATTTTAGTTCTATTTTTTGTTTTCTGTAGTTTGCTCGCCCTTTGTTATTTCACCTTATCGTGTATTGCAAATATTATGAATCATATGCGTATCACTGCCACGAAAATGTAAGTGCACAGTGATTTACACTTTGACATGACTGCTGTGATTATGACACCATAAACTGCAAAAACAAGTCATTTTTGATTCGTCCGGTTTTTTCAAACTCTGTCCCTCCGACGATTGACAGAGCTATGACTAACATATGCGAAGCATGTGATTGAGAAAGTATGAAAACGGTTATCTTTTGGTGATATGAATTTCTTGCAAAGATTGAAAAGGTGCAAAACATCAAGCGTTCACACCTATATGTCAGATGCTGTCACCAGTAGTCACAATAGGTTGACGCAAATAAAATCTTCTATTTGAATGTTGAAAAGGATCAAGAAAGGGTACTGAACTGACTATGCGCAGTCTGACTGAGCCCTCTTTGATGCCTAGACTACAACATCCCCATGCAAAAAACGAGCCCGCTTGGTAGTGGACAGGCAAAGTGGGCCTTCTCGGATTTTGGTGGAGTTAGGAAGTGGGCGGTGCTGGTGCACTTTTGGAGCGCATCTTTCAGGACTAAAGCGCATGAATTGGCAGGTAGGGCTTGAGCTATGATGTACTTGGGGGTTTACTACCTAACTCCTCCAAAACCTGTGAGGGGACAATTTTGTCTGTCCATTGCCTTTATGAAAACGAAACTTATGAATTAATCGAGTTTTCGCTTACCATGTACTCCAGATTGATGAAGGGATCATTGACAGATACCACTTCGACGGTGTCTTTCTCGACAGCAGCTCGAAGCACCAGACGGCCGATACGGCCAAATCCATTGATTCCAACCTTTGGCTTGCTCATTTCGGAAAATAAGGGCTGAAATTGATGTATTCAGTGAAAGGTGAACACAAATCTATCGACTTCACGATTCAGCCGTATTCAAGACACAAAATCACTTGATATAGACATTCGAAGAGTAAAGCATCTCTGAATCATTGCGAAATGTTCGATTCGCCTCATTGATCTGGCAATAATGAGAAAAAAAAAGAATCCAGCGTGGACGAAAGTCTGTCTCATTTGCGGTGTCTCTGTTGCGCACGGCTACGCAACGGCTCGCGCGCCGCGCTTCCTGGGACACTGCGATTAAGACAGAGCGTAGGTTTATTTAGGCAGTCTGCTAGGCTTGGAATTCACCGCTGGCGGAATTTTCAATAATTGCCAATCTCCGTTAATTCGAAAGGAGATTAGCAAGCACCGATTGACCGGTTTCCGAACTATCAAAAAACAAGAGCAGACAGTCAAAAACATTTAATCCCTTCACCTGCACCCTTCTATCCTATTCACTAGATCATCAAAGACAGAGACCCTCTGTCAGCTCTAAGGCCCCGGGCAGACTTCGCTCAAAAGCCTCCAAAGTGCTCAAAAGCT